TAAATGTGGATGTCAGATCTTTCCACAACACGCGCAAACAGGAAAGGATGGCAGCAAATTGGATTTCCTTTAAGAGAAAAAAAGGAAAAATACGAAGGAAGCAACGAAGAAAATAGAAAGTGGAAGACATAGAAAAATCTATATTTATTAGCTTGGTGTGCGGGCAAATTCAACTTTGATGTAAAAATAGATAAATACATAAACAAAAGTTTTTTACGCAAAATATATATACACATATACATAATATATGTGTTGTATGTAAAAACTTTTGTATGTATAATTTATCTATTTTGACATCAAAGTTGAATTTGCTCGCACATCAGAATATAAATATAGAGTGTGTGTGTGTGTGTGTGTGTGTGTGTGTGTGTGTGTGTGTGTGTGTGCACAGTTAAAAAATAGAGAAAAGAATAAGAATCGTATACAAAGGAAGTTAACGAGAGATCGAAAGGAATAAGAACGATACGAATAATAACTAGTTTTGAAGTAGAAAATAATACAGCAAGCGAAAGAAACATTCGTTACATTTGTAATCCGAATCTCGATTTAATATGAAAAAAAAACGCAATGAGAGAGAATATAAAAGGCGCTTTGAAGAGGCGCATGAAAGATTGCGCAAGTATGTGTGTGGGTAGTTTCAAGATGAATCTGAGGAAGTCGTAGTCTGCCCAATGCACGGGTTAAGGATGAACGCCTTAACATTCTTGTCTATTTGTCGAATAAAATACGGGGAACCTGGCAACCGCATAAAACGTGCATTATTCTCAACTTTTTCTCACTCGCGGATTCGACGTCGAGCACTCAGGTAACGCTAGGCAAATCTGTTCCTATCAGTTGCAGACGAACGTTACTCCTGTACTCCCTCCCTTATTATTTGCCTGAGGAATAAAACTGGAATTCCAATGATTGATGAAAAGTGGGAATGATAATTTCGAGAGCATGCGTTATAAAGTTATCACTAAATAAAAACTTGTTTCACTTTCTCAAATTGATCCAGGTTTTCAACATAAAAGACATGCAACAGTATTGAGATTACATACTTATGAGATACTAAAAACAATGCGTTTAAACATTTGTATTAATTCTCTTTTATAACAAGCATAATAAAGAAAATTTATTAACTCAGTTTTCTATTTAATCCTCTGTAATTCTATTAAATAATCTTTTATAACTTATTTTTGTTAACATCGTATTTATCAATTATTGCTGTTTATCTGCATTTCATATTTGTGAGTACGCCGTAATCCCTTTTATCGTCATGCATTTTGATTAACGAACTTCGTCGATCTGATGCTCTGCATTTTAAATTAGCAGTAATAAATTGCAGAATTATAATGACTCTGTCAATATGCATTTGACAATATTAATCCCAAAGAAATGTGCCGTTTAAACTGATACAAACAAAGTATTCATAATTGAATATTGTGTACACTAAAATATCGGAACTCAATTAAAATTTCTATATTATAAATTGAGTTTATACATTTTCTCATTTTCATATAGCTTTATGTTACAGCTATTATATATAGCAACATGCGGTATGCATTACATAACTAAAACTAAGTTCGATAGCCGGAGAAACATGATAATCATCAACGTATAGCATGTATATTATGGAATTATTGTCAAAAAGTGTCACATCGGTCCGACATTGCGACCATTAAATTTATCGTAAATTGACCCAAATTTTCCCAAATCGATAGAGCTCCTAAAAGCTGAAACAATATCCGACACAATAATCCCGATGTTGTTAGAATGAAATAAGCATAATTAATATGCATAATAAACAAAATTAATACATTGTTCATTATTAATTATTATGTCGTTAATTATTCGTTATTTAACTTTTTTGTTATACTTTTATTTATCCATTTATTTCTGTTTATTTTTTTTTCAAAATAGGTAAATTATAATTATATTATTAATCCTCTATGAATGCAAGCTGACAGTTGTGATATATGTACAATTTTAATTAAATAATTGAAACATTTTTATCGCATCAAATCTAATGTTTGTTGCGTTATTTGATTGTTAGTGTAACTGCAATATACAATCGTGATGATATATCTTTCATCTCGATTCTGCGATTCACAGAACAATGTGTATGGCAAGGTATAATGTACAAAACAAAGTATGAAAGAAATACAAGAAATACCATTGCATTTCAATGAAAGCTTATTTTGACCACATTGGCGTGCTGGACGCGCTTCCGGGTTGGAACATTCGCGGTTGATTTGTTTTTCTCGACTTCACCGTAGACGTTAAGTGTACTCAACGTCTTATCGTGCGCTGCGCGGATTTCGGTGCCATATTTCATGCGGTAAGCAACTTTTAGCGCTCTTCTTTCATATTTACTCGACCGGTTTGCGAAAGGCACAATACGGAAGATATAAATCCAGAGATTTATGAAGTCGGTGTAGTTCATTGAGATACGCGAAATAAGTCGAAGTATCGGGAAGTGAAAGAAAGTAATTGGTCATGTTTCCAGAATTTATTCTGCAGCAGTCTGAATCAATTTTCCGATATCACATAAGCGTTTATTTATAAGCCAGTTATACATATATGAATTAAACTTCTCAGACTTACTAACAAACAAGGTAACATTTTTAATTGTTTATTAATATCAAGTATTGCATTTACCAAAGACTTCTGCTTCTCTCTCATTCTAATACAAATTTGTTTTATATGAATCGCAAAAAATTAATGTCAAAAAATCCTTTCGTCTGTTTGGACAGTTTAAAAATATTTCATAAAAAGATCATATTAAAATAACAAAAATCTTTCCATATATGGTATAAATAATATCCTACATCTATGTTAACGTTAAAAAGTGCCGTGTTAAGCAAAGTTGTGAGTATACCGCTGGTTGCTGTTGTCAGTGCAAAACACTCATGCAGGAACCGAAAAATAAACATCGCTGTGAACCAGGAATAATCAGATGGTGCACAGAGAAGGAGGTACAAAAATGCATGCGACGAGAATGTACAACTACACGCGCGTCACGCCCTGAGCGAACGTACCGCGCCACGAGAGATAAAAGCTCGCTATGCTCTTCGTTCTGTTTAGCGGTTGGATATTAAAAATGGAGCAGAGAGCGAAGAGCGAAACCACGAAGCAAGCTTTATTTAGTCGAGGACCGAGCTTTCGAAGAGCGTCACGCGCGCGTCAACTGGTGGCGCGATTGTTTCGCGTAAACTTGTATACACCTCGTCACAGAAACAAGTGCAGCTGGTAGAACGAATGACGCGTCCATCTAGCGAAAGGGAAAAAGAAAAAAAAAATGGAAGATAAAATGCTTTAGGGCAAACTTTTAGGGCAAATGCATATTCATATCGTAGCGATGCGACCGTTGGGTCCAAGTGGCGCGAATTAATATGCATAAATTCTGCCATTACCAGTGGCTCAGGCAGCTTGAAACGTCTCTTCTCCCGATTTCCGGAGATCCGACCCACTTGCTGAAAATTCTTAAGGACGGCAACACTTTTACCCAGTACGATACCCACTTGCTTAAATCTGGGTGTAACAAAAGTAAGAAATACCAAGAAGTTTCTTATCGTAGCAAGTCGCGCAATATACATATCCACGTTGTATAAAAATTTTTAATCAAATTTTAATCAAAATTAAATTATAAGATAAATGAAGCAAATATTGTTGAAAAAAATCACAACAAATATACCATAAATATTAAAAGGAAAGAAATATTTTTTAGAAAAATTAGACATTTACAATTTATTTCTCTTTTAGAAAATTGCCTTGAAATTAACATTTTATCGAATAATGAAAATTCCTATTTTTTTTATTACAAAAATGTCAAAATAATTCTAACATTTTTAGAACTGAATAATAAATGTCTTTGATTATTTGAATGTGACAATGGTTTTTAAAAAAGGATTATGTGAAATGTAAAAGTGAACAATGTTGGGAACGCTAAAACTTTACCTTCTCAATTATACGTCCCGGAAAAATTTTTCTCTCGTATGTTATTGCTCCTAAATGTATCCGGCACGTTCCTAAAAAAAACTTCGTCAGTCGGAATTTTGCGAGAATTTAATCATTCACGCGAAATTGAAAGGCTTTATGCAAGATAGCATCACGTTTTCGGAAAAATTCACATACATCTCACTTTTTCAGAGCACATAAAAATCCGTTATATCCAAAAAATTCGCCATTTTTTTTCTAAAACTCAGGTAAAAATTCTTCATATAAAAAAGGAAATATTATTTTGATTTATACATATTTATTTTGACGTAATCGTTCCAATTGATGCAATCGTTAAAAATATTCGAATAATATCGAGCGCACAAATTATAAATCAATATATCAATATTGAGAATCACTCATTAAAATAAATAAACGTATGTTTCAAACATACGTAAAATAAATAAATGTATGTTTCAAACATACATGTTTTTACGTATAAATCTTTGACGATTTTAAAACTATAAAATATGCTTGCATCACCTAAGACATTTTCTTCACTCGTATATAATACGATTCATAATCCATGAGTTATATATTCACAAATTATTTACGCAGTAGTAATCAATAAACATAACAGTCATATTTTATGCATAATACTGATTATATTAAAACATAAATAACATAAACATAGAGAACGACTAAAATATCTAGAAATTTAACTAGATACAAATCTGAAGATAATTTTGTCAAAATAATTACGTAATTTTTATAGCTTATCAAAATAATTACGTAAGAATCTCAAGTATGATGAGCAATACTGCAAAAAGTTTTAACATTCCAACTAATTTGAGTATCCTACATAATTATTTTGATAGTCCAATAAAATTATTTTTTAATTTAAATCTACTTAAATTTTTAGATATATCAACAAAACCGTCCTTTATGTTTAAGCAAATACAGTAAAATGAAAAATGAACATTAAATGTTCTAACATACTTCGCAGTTGTGACCTATTGGACTTAATTTTTCAATTCGTCTTCAAAAAAATTAAACATCGGAAAGATATATAAGATACTTACCGAGCACGACCAGCTTCACCGGTTTGCCGAAGAGAATCTTCCCCCGGTCATCCTCTAGCGTGCAGCCCCACACACCATCGTCCTCTAATCTGACGTTGTCTATGTGCAGTGCTGCGGTTGTCGAGTCGCCGATGTACCGATGCCCGGTTCCGCTCATTTCCGTTCTCGTGTCTATCGTGATCATATCCACCGGACTACCTTCGTGTAGCCACGTCGCCGGTCGTATTCTGTAACTTCTGACAAGGAGCGCAGCGTCCGCATTATTAGTTCACCTAACAAACTTTGTTACGCCCGATCTTCAGGCGACAAAGACACTTCAGCCGTATCCCCACATTACTATCACAGGGGGTGACTTTGTTTCCGTAAAGGGAATAATTTTACCGTAATGTATTCAAGGCAAAAGTTACCATTATTATGAAGTGAAACCGGATATTAATATGCTGAGAGAATATTATTATATAGACATACACGCGATGAAAAGACATAATGAAAAGACATAAAAGACTTACTTTAGATATTATAAAAAGTAGAGATTACGATTACATATTATGTTATGCGATTTATTTGAAATTTGAACATGATATTTTTTTCACTTAGACAAATTTGATTTAAAATATTTGAGATATACTTCAATTTTAACTCTCTGAAATGTTATTTTAACGTTTCATGACCACAACAGATTGATTGAATTCGAACATGCGTGTTACCTTGCTCCTGGCAGTAATAATCTTGAGTAATTTCCTTCCAATTCGCAGGGTAAAATGACTTTACTATGAGGCTTCACTACAAGTTCCAGTGGCGGATTGGATGTATCGGCCATATCTGAAGATAGAGCAATGTTGGTCGTGGTGGAAGAACTGGTAGACCATGACTCCTCTTCGGGGGCCAAAAGGGCCGCGGGTTGCACTACTTCGTCAGGTAGAGGTATCAACGTTGAGCCGGATGTCGTCGTTGTACTCGTGCTGGTGGTAGTTCGCCTGGAACGCCGGCTACCCTCTTGCCTGCCTCGTAGCGCAAAAACACCAGCCTCGTTCACGGAACCTGTAACAACGGTATAATGGCATCAGCTTCTCTGACGTGGCCACCATTAAAGAAAGTTACTGTGATTTCATTTTTCGCCAGTTTTTTTCTCGCTCCTTTTATAGCGTGTCGCCTTATCGCGCTTTTGTTATTATTGACATTTCTCAGCGCGTCCCGGTTTTCTGTATTCCTGGATAAACCGTCGCGTGACCTCTCGACAAGAAACCACGCTTCAACCACGAGTTTAACTATTATCAACTATTATCGGTATTTACCATGTATTGTAACTATTTTATGCCACGATTGATTAACTGGACGGGTAGGGAGATTAATTAGAATATAATGTACTTGTATGTCGAGTTATATATAATTAAATAGTTAATGCAATTACATAAAAACCCTCGATCGTAGAGTTTACGTTCTTTTTGCAATATGAATATTCTTTGAAACTTAATCCCGACACGAAAAGTGCAGATATGCGTTTTAATAAACGAATTGTATTATTAAACGCTTGAGCAAGCCTGGAAAGAGGGGACACGTTGCATTCGTCCAAATTCAAAGGGCGGATAAATTTTCCAGCCACCCATTACGAGTGAAACAATAAACGGGATTAGTTGTCCGCCTTTATCATCCGCTTCCACGCTCCACCGGAAAGTAAATATTCTGAAGACTGAGGCTTGATCGAGTTAGCGCGGCTCTGGAATTCGATAAAGCCGCGACAAGAACGAAAGACACTTTCCATCCGATGAGAAGGCGTCGTTCCGCACGCTCGGTCACCCTCACCTAAAACTGCTTGCCTATCAAGCTTGGTCGACCAAGACTTCACGGAGAAAACTAATTATGGTTCCGATGAGCCGCAAATAGCTGCAACTACCTAACCTAACGCAACTAAGAGCTCTCTTCCCGGGACTCGCCTTCTCATCCTGATCCCACAATCCCTCTGTAGTAAACCAGTATAGTTGAGGGTGACCGACAGCTCAACTTGTTTGCGTGCCATGAGGCAATTCTACGATGGCTCTTTCATTAACGTTTTCTCTTGCCAATAGCTAAAGCACATACTCTATTCTTTTAAACTTTTGTTATAGCTGCAACGTTAACCTTTACACTTCTGCTCTTTCGTGCATGTTAACAAGTATCTTTACAATATCATGGAAAAAATTTAATTTTTCTAAAAATAAATATGTAAGCATAAATAGTTAGCATATAAAGTAGTTTTGTAATTTCCAAAAATAAAGTTGAAAATAATAGGAACAGAAAATAAAAATACATATATATTAATGTATGTAATATTCAGTCTTTTTTTTCAATCTTTTTTTAAAAAATGAATCAAATTGTTGAAATATACTCAAATGCAATATTAGGTGTACATGCTTCAATGCTTGTTATCAACTTGTCTTTTAACAAATATTGCCAACACGACATTCAGAAATAAACAGTAAAGATTAAAATAAGATCAAAATGAAATGAAATTGAATATAATTTAGATAATTTTAAAAATACACAATTTTAAAAATATTTTTTACTTCATAAATTACTCGATTTATTTATTTCTAAATTTTTTCTCTTCTTTGAAATGAGCTCTTTGTGGCAGGCACCTTATGCTGGTTAAAAAGCCTTATTCTAAAAGAATGCAATCATGTGAGATTGATAACAGCTTTAATTAATTTCTTTTTATTATTTGAAAGAGATGTTCTAGATAGTATAAATAATTTTATTTTTGATAGATCTTGCTTAATTTTAGAACTCTATTTAATTAGTATGCAATGCAAGTATGCAAGTTATACTAGAAGAGTATTAGTATCAAGAATAAATACTCTATGCAACTAACAGGACTCCAATTCTACTTTTACTAGCCGTGTAAAGTCCTGCAAACTCCGCAGAAGACGAGCTGATAACTAAAGTTCTTCGTATTTCTTAAGAACTATTAAATTGAAGTTCTTCAGAGCTAGAAGAGACGAAACTTTACAACAAAAGAATGCGTTTGTAGTATATTTTATTTTTGCAATTAATCATTGATTTGCAACAATCGTTGATTTATTGTCATAATAAATATATTTCATGAATGTTAAATTATATTTATTCTGAATCTTAATAATTGCAAAATAATATAATCCAATTCTTTCAGTAAAATAATATTTTGTTATGTTTAACTTCTATGTTAAAATAAATCAATTATTTTTTGTGGTTAATTTCAAAATAAGCATTGTCCATATTAACGTATGCATTCAATAAATAATAAATTGAATTAAATTTAATCATTTTCTTGAGTTAAACTCCATTGTTTTAATCAAATTAATACATTATAGATCAAGCGATCAGAGCATCATTGATCTCAACGATTTATCAATGATTAAAAATATCTTAAATTGGATATAATTGATATTATGAATTTAACAGTGTAGTTTATTTTACATAATAAGTTTATTTTAAAATTATCTATCACAATTACGTATATTATACCAATTACTAGCTCTATTCTTTTAACATATATTGTATATACTGCTTAAAGATAACGAAGATGAATTTCTTAGAGAATTCATATAAAATCCGATTTCATAAAAATTTCATATAGATTTTACTATAAATATTTGTCATCATCAAAAAATTTAGCGATTAAAAGATGGAAGCGACATTTCGACAATGGAAATCAAATGTTTATCGCTTCTAAGGACAAGAACGAAAATGATTTTAGCTTCAGCTATGTTTGACGCAAAAAAAAAAATATCGACCTGTAATAGCAAGCGTAGTCACGTAGCGATATCATGGTGCTAGCCAATAGCGAGTGGCCTCTGTTCATCAACGTTCCCAATAGTACACCCTACTAGTTATACACCGCTATCGAGTGGATGTTGTTCGACGTTGATGCATGCATTATTCAGGCGGTGTATCCATTCATTATTCATGTCATGATCAATAGATGTCAACAGACCGCGATCTGTATCTGAGCACGTCGCTATGGCAGAAAGTGAAAGTGGCGGCCAAGCGAAATATACGTTGATGGGTCAGACCCTCTCAAAGGAACGTTGCGAATAGGACGATGCAACGAATTTACAGCGGCCGCGCCGTATATCCAGTCGGGGACACGATATAGACGATGAACCTTTCATTATGATAGAATTGATACACGCTTAGGAAACTTGTTACCATCACACAATTATATCGCTCGACACAAAATTGCCGCTTCCAGAATGGATATCTATTCTACGGAAAAATAATCAATTATTAAAATTAACAACATATAAGTTTTAAACAACATACAGTTTGGTGGAAGTAAACAGAATTTCTGATTTTTATAATCAAATATTTTAATATGTAATCAGAATCAACATGTAATCAGTGATTTAAGTAATCAGTTAAAGTTTGATTAGTATATAGGTGTAATATAATAATCCAATTATTTGATTATTACGATTACAAGAGAAAAAAAAAGCATGATTGGATTAACGTGACAAAATGATGTATGATCAAAGAAGTATTGATAAAACTAAACAAAATTTTTGGTTATCACAATAAAATAATCCAATATTTTAACTAAAAGTTTTTGC